CGCCTCCTCCGCTGCATTCCGGGGAGGTGCTCCGGACCCACAGGAGGCCCGGTGGATGTGGGGTGTCCTCCTCATGCTGGGTGTGGGGGGGGGGACGCTGAGGCCCTGGGTGGGCGGCCAGAATGCGCCGGCCAAGTTCACCGGCCGCTCCGGCTCTGGGCAAAGATGTTCCTCTCGCTGGCCTCGGTTTCCCCTTGAAAACGGCGTCTTCCTTGCGGTTTGTAGAAACATGAAGATTAAATGCGCAGTAACCACGAGACAGAGGCCAAAAGCGAAGCCCGAGCACGAATGCCGGGCCGTCCGCGGGAGCCGCGGGCGTCTGCAGAGCCCGCCCTGCGGCGGGCAGCGGGTGGCCGCGTGCCTCCTGGTGACTTTCCTACAGGCGGACGATGAGGGGACGCCCGGAGGAATCCACGCCCGCTGTGGCCCAGCCCCCCGAATCGCCGTCATCCCGCGCACTCCTCCCTGATCATCAGCTGTCCGTCGGCACGGAGCTCTCCTCTGAAGGCCTCACGGCCCCCCTGAGGGTGAGGGTGAAGGAGAAGGCCTGGGTCCCCCTCGGGGCCACTGGTCCCAGAGGGGCGTTCAGAAGCTGTCCCCGAGGCACTGGCAAGACGCTCGCTCCTGCCTTGATGCTTTTTAAGCCTCTCTCCACCTCCTCCCCCTCTTCTGACTGGACAGGGAGGAGCGTCCAGCTGGTGGCCCATTCTCCGTTAGGACGCTTTCTCCCACCTGCGCGGGGACCGGGCCCTTCCCGTGAGCGAGGCAGAGGTGCGTGGTGGGCCCCGCATGTGCAGTGCACTTTAGACGTTTCCATAGGCTGTGGCGACCCTGGACTGGACGCGACCGGACGCGACCGGCTGCTTCCTGAGTTCATATGAAAGGAGACGGAACATCAGATCTCCCTCCTTCAGGCAGGGGCAGAGCCGAGGCCCCGCCTCCCGTGCCCGGCGGGGGCCGCCTGTCCTGTCACAGGTCACAGTCCCACGAGGGCGGGAGCTCAGGGCCGCCTGGAGATCAGGACCAGCAGCGCTGGAGAAACACACTTTTCACGAGATGGGAAGTCAGGAGCGAGGGCACACACCGCAAGTTCCATCCCTTTGGGCCGATCGGAAACGACGAGAAACACTGACTTTCTACAAGCTCCTGCACCCACTGGTCCCCACGGGCCGGAGGCATTTGGGCGACAGAAACGCAGACACCAACACAATGTCCTCCTGGGAGCTAACGCCAATCCCAAGAAAAACAGCAGGCAAAATTCCTGGGTTTCCTGATTCTGCTTACAGAGCTGGACAGTCCACGGGGGTGGAGGCCCGTTTTCTTGCCAACCACTGCGAGAGCCAGATAATATTTTCACGACCTTATTTTAGGATGAGTAACTTTGTAAACAACCCCGGCGACCAATCCACAGACAGCTTGTCTAGACCCTTATTGGAAGCAGAAGGTCACCAGAGAGGCAGACATCCCAGAGGTGCTCCAGGCGCATGCGACAAAGCACGACACCCGGCCAGCTCTGGCTCCAGACAGGGCCGCTCACCCCACTCACTAGGTTTCGAGGCTGGGACGACGCAGCCTGACCCGGAGGCATGAGGTGGGAAAGGGACAGCGCCTGGCAGCTGGCGGGCCCCAGCAGAAATGACTTTCTGGGCACGAGGGCCCTGGTCGGTGCGGACGGAGCGGGTGCAAGGAAAGGCACCTCCCCCTTCGGGGGGGCCACGAAGGTAACGAGCTGGGCGAGAGCAGCGAGCGAGCTGATTCCAGCGGAAACCGCCAAGGACTCTGAAGCACACTCGCGGACCGTCGCGGGCCCAGGAAGCGCTCAGTCTAGCAGTTAACGCCCGAGGCTCCGGACCCCGTGGTCAGGTCACACACACTCGGTGACGCTCCAGATCTGCCACCTACACCTCACGCCCAGCCCCACCTCTCACCCGGGATCCCGTCCCGGGGCCACCGACTTGTTGCTGGGCCTCAGTCCCAGTCTACGAGACAGACGTAACATTCGCACCCCGCTCGCAGGGCGGTTTTGAGGAACAAACGAACGTATAAAAAAGTAAATGTATAAACCACTCCGAACAGTGCCTGGCACACGGCGATCCCTCAGCGGATGCGACGCCGCTGTGTGTCGTCCTGGCTGGCATTATTATACATACACGCCCCCCCCCCCCGACACACACACCCCGAACATCCCTGGGTCTCCTGCTGAGCCTGTGACCCGCCCAGGACCTGCCAACAGGTCGGAGGGAGCTGCTCGCTGGCTCTGACCAGTCTTACCGACTCTCTGGGCCTCGGTTTCCTCCCGGGGGGCAAGGCCGTAGAATAAGTACCTCACAGTCCTCTTTTAATGTACAAACTACTGGTTTAAAAAGGTGGCTGTCATCTTCTGGGTCAAGTGGAAATGCTTCCACCTGGAGCAGATCGTGGTCAAAGTCAGAGCCGTGATAAGGACCCTGTTCCACTGTACTGAAGGTCAGCCAGCGTCCAGCACCTCGTTTACCCTGAATTATTGGGTAATGAAGATGACGTGACGATGACATTTTTTTTTTCAGAAAACTAAAACCCAGCTTGAAGCAGCAAACTGTTATTATTTTCTACCATTTTTACGAGGCTCCTAAAACATACAGATATATCCCCAACTTAAAGGAAATTTTGGCCAATAAATAAAACAGCTTCACGAGACAGCAAGTCCAGCTGCAAGAGGGAAAGAACCGAGAAGACCCCACAGCCTCCCTCCCTTCTTCCTGAAGCAACGACTCAGCAGGGCCCTGGCCCCTCCGCCAAGCAGCCGGGCACTCACGGGGGCGGGGGGGCGGTGTGCTCACCTGCTTCGCAATGGTGACCTGGCTCGGAGGAGGAGGGGGAGGAGGGGGAGGGGGAGGCAAGGAGCTCGGCTCTAGCCCAGGGGGGCTCCTCGTGCCAGTCAGCTCTGGGAAAGGGTTGGGGATGGCCGGCAGAGACGAGGTTCTAAACTGCTGGTCTTGTTCCTGCAGGCGCCTGGGAGGGAAGAGACAGACACTGGTTAGAAGCTGCCATCGCCAGACGTGATCCAGCAGTCCCGCTCCCGGGAAAACCCCAAAAGAAAGAGGGACCGAGTGATGGCAGCAGGACGGCTCGGGGGGTCTGAAGGCACCCACGGCAGTCGAAGTCACCCAGGGAAAGAATGGAGGGCACGGCGCTGGGGGAGGGGGAGGGCAAGTTCGTGTCTAATGGGGACGGAGTGTCAATTCTGCAAGATGACAAAGTTCTGCAGATTGGCTGTACAACAATGTGAATGTACGTGACACCAAGGAACTGTCTGCTGTCATGGCTGTCATTATACCCTCCTCCCTCCAAAATGGCTGAGATGGTAAATCTTACGTTATGTGTATTTTACCACAATCAAACATTAAAAAAGTAAAAAAGCTGCCATCTCAGACTCGAAGGGCACAGGTGCCCTCCCTCAGGGGCGACCATCGTGGGCGCGCGCAGGTCACACCTCGCCCGTTTGCTGCCGTGAGTCCCTGGCGTGAGGAGACTGTGTGAGTGAGAACATTGTCAGGAGAACTATTTCCCATCGACCTTGAAACGAGTATTTCTCTAACCAAATGAAATACCAGAAGAGGCTTCCTGCTCCTCATCTGAGTTGGGGAATGAATACTTCCTTACACAAAAAGGTCGTTGACACTGAATTAATTGGAAATAAATGCTTCATGTCGCTGTGCACCCCAGAGCACAAAAGCCCATGTTTATGGCACCCCAGAAACACCCTGTGCGCCTCACACCACTGACAGCCACTTCTGAGCCACACTGCCCTGTCTTCAGCATCTCTCCAGAGCTACCTCCCCCGTCTTCCCAGATTCACCAAACGCACACAGAGATGGACGAATCAGATGAACTTATGAAAAATAGAAAAAAAAAAAAAAAAAAAATTAAGTTCAAAGCCGAAGCAGAAACAATGCAAAGTGCCCTGTGCTTCCTCTCCCCGGGGCTTCGGCGGGCAGCTTCCTGCCCTCGTGTCCAGGGCCTTCCTGAGAGTGGAGGCCCTCTGTCCATCTGAGGGTGTCGCCCCCGGTGCAGTACGAACGCCCCAGCATTGCCGCTCCTCATGTACGCCCGCCCCCCATAAACCCCTCGTTTAGGCTGTGTCTTCAAAAAATTATTCTAATTTTACAATCTGACTGAATTAATGATCCATTCGCTTCCTTGAGGTTTATTACAAGAGAAGTGGATACTGCGGACGTTTTCGAGGTGTCCTGATTCTGGAGGAGCCCGTCCGGCCACTCCACGTGGACCGGGAAGGGATGCCCTGCTTTACAGTGCCAGCGTTCTCGTGGCACAAAGGAGCTCAGTGCTGGGAGCGCAGGAGAGCCTTTTCTATCATCCCCTGACCGCGTGCCAGGAACTTTACTCTGGCTGTTCACAAATCTCGGTCTTCCCATAGCAGCCTCTGCCTTGGCAGAGCGTCCATCTGACACGTGTCCCTTGTACAGAACAAGAGAGAAGGAGATGTAGCCACGCCTGCTGTCAAGATATTCTGGCCCGCGACCTCTAACTGGTGACAAACGCAAAGAATATGAGTTTTCTTTTGTTTTGACTTACAAGATGCTGAGGTTCTGATGCTCCGGTGGTTCACCAAAGCTTCTCTCTTTAGTAGGCTGTTTTGAACATTTTTAAAAAGTCCTATGTATTTGAGAGCAGCGAAAATACTCTGCACGATATTGTAATGGATTTGTGATGTGCAAACCTATAGACTGTCCAACACCAAGACTGAACTATAACGTACACTACGGGCTCTGAGTGATAAGGACGTATTAACGGAGGTTCATCGGTTGTAACGAGTGTACTCCTCTGGTGGGGGATGCTGATGATGGGGAGCCTACGTATGTAGTGGGGAGGGGGGTGTACAGGAAATCTCTGTATTTTGCTATGGACATAAAATTGCTCTTAAAAATAAAATCCGTGTCAAAAAACAAAAGACCTTATGTTCAGTGGTGTGATGTTATCTAAGGTCACATTGATTCCATTTATATGAAACATCTAGAATAGGTAAGTCCACAGGGACAGAATATAAACTGGTGGTTGCCAATGGGGAGTGCAGAATGGGGAGATGCTGCTTGATTGTAGGGGTCTCCGCCAGGGTGATGGAAATGTTCTAGAACTAGTAGAGGGGTCGTTGCATGATACAGGGACTCTACTAAATGCCCCTGAATCGTATAAAGTGATTAACTTTGTTATATGAATTTCACTTGAACATGTGATTAACTTTATGTTATATGAATAAATTATTTTTAAAAATTGAAAAAACAAGTCCTGTGTTGACTTTATAGCAGTTCACAGATACTTTTCAAAGCAAAACTGAGGGACATTACGCAAAGCTGAAAAAAAATCCCTGTTCAGAGGCGCACAGCCAAGGGATACGTCCCTTCACAACTGCAAAAGGAGACAGGGCTGCGGGGAAGGGAGCCGAGACGCAGACACCTCGGCGTCAGAGATGGACACAGGAATGTTGGGGCTGTGCGCCCACCCACTCCCGGCCCCCTTCTGCCCTCCCTGCAGCCCACTCCCCCTCCTTCCGGATCTGGGGGCTCCACGGAGACCTCTTCAGGGAGCCTTCCCTGCTTCTCCTGCCTGCCTCCCTCTGAGCAACTTCAGAGTGACAGTGCTCCACGGGGCCTGGCTCCCAGCACCATGCTCAGTGTGCTCCAGGCCCTCTGCACCCTTCAGCACCCCTCAGCCTGGGTCTGCACCCTGGGTTCCTCCTCACCACGCGTGGCCAAGTCATGACCCCTGGTGCTGTGGGGACCTACCTAGTACGGCCGCAGCGACCATTACACTCGCTAATAAATGAGGACCCAGCAGAGACTTACACAGAGGAAGTGCTGGGCATACAGGAAGTGCTGGGCACACAGGAAGTGCTGGGCACACACAGGAAATGCTTGGCACACACGAAAGTGCTGAGCACACAGGAAGTGCTGGGCACACAAGAAAGAGCTTGGTACATAGGAAGTGCTGGGCAACCTGGCTCACAGGAAGTGCTGGGCATACAGGAAGTGCTGGGCACACACAGGAAATGCTTGGCACACACGAAAGTGCTGAGCACACAGGAAGTGCTGGGCACACAAGAAAGAGCTTGGTACACGGGAAGTGCTGGGCATGCACAGGAAGTACTCGGCTGACCCTCACACAAAATCAATCTTTGGGGATCCTATACTGGTTACCCTAGTTTTTAAAAGCAACTGAAGGAAAGAATCACTACTACTTCTGTGAGAGGAAGTCAGTAGGAAGAGACTGGGCCCTAGGACCGAGGTCTGCGCCTGCTACCCTGTGGGACTCAGTGCAGTTCCTGGGCATGGGGCCGAGTTCAGCCACAATTCTAGGCTCACAGGTCACGAGCAACTAGTTGGCAAGGAGCCAGGCCTGGTGGCCCTGCCATCCTCCAGCCCGGCCCAGCTTTGGGAGGCTGCCATAGGTGGGTGACCGAGAGAATGCAGACCCAGAGCAACTCACAGGAGAAACAAGGGTCTTCCTCCAGACTGAACTCATCAGGAGTTAAGAACATGGGGGGTGATGCTCCAGGGAGCAAAGAGGGACAGACTCTGGGAGGACGGATGTGACAAAAGGCAGGAAGCCACGAGGCAGCCAATGACAAGCTGTTGGAGTCGCTGTCCCCAGCTGCAGACAGTACTTGGCCTCTCCAGACAGCAGGCTGCCCCAGCAAGAGTGTAAACTGATAGACAAAACCCAGGATGTCAGACCGAAGGAGTCTCATGGAGGTTTCCAGAAGCAGGAGAATGCCTCTGCCCCCACCCCATGGAAGTGTGAAAGTTAATAAACAGACACTTAATTTCAATGGAGTTGGGAGCTGGAAGAGCGAACTCTCAGGCACACGTCACTCAACTACACTGTATGGAGCCCAGAGGAAGAGGCGTACCTTGAATCCCACACAGGAAGTGATGCTACCTTACTACCTCAGCAGGAGGAAGAAGAGACCCCTTCCTGCCCGGTAACAGCTCAGCCAATGAGAGGCTGCCATAACTCAGCCAATGAGAAGCCACTATACTTCCAATGTTCGGATTCCTCCAATGGACTCTTGGCTTACAACAGCCCCTCCCAAGTCCATAAAAGAAGGCTCGTCTCCTTTGTTTCTTTGGATTTGAGTGTGGTTTGTCATTATACGTGTCCGAAATTGTGATTCTTTGTTCTTTGCAGATAAACCCATTTTGCTGGAGAAACGTCTGACTATTCGTGAAGGTCAGGAACAGGAAGCGAGGTCTCTGGAAGATGCAGCGCTGAGGGAGGGGCAGCCGCCAGTGACCCGGGCCCAAGACAGCCGGTCGCGGGCTCCCCCAGAAGGCCCAGGGCGACAGGGAAGCCTCGATCCCTGGTCCATTCTTATTCTACCATCCTCACCTGAAACCTCGCCCGAGCCAACGCAGACCTGGGGGGCAGCCGTGGGGCATTTCTCAGCTTGATTTCATAAGGATCTCAGCTCAGAAGGTCCACCATGCCCTCCACACCCTGCCCTTCACAACTGCTGCCCCAGTGACCTCTCCGTGCACACGCTTTCCGGGCACTGGAGACAGAGCCGAGGCACCCCCAACACCCTCCTAAACTCGAGTGCTGACAAATCCAGTCTGTCCCTCTTCTCCATCCCAGGCCAGGAAACGACCATTCCTGGGCTGGTCCCTGAAATGGCTTCCCAATCAGCCAAGCTCTGCCGGCCTGGTTGTCCTCTCTCCCACCAGCCCCTGACCCAGGCCGCCAGAATTATCTGCCAGAACCCAAATCCACTCCCCTCACTGAGCTATTCCAAGCCCTTCCTTCCCCGCCCCTCCCCTCGGACCAGCTCGCAGAGATTGTGAGGACTCAGTCCCCGTCTGTCAGGATCACCTCTTTTTTTAAACCGCTCTGTATAGGTAAGACAAAAGCCATATGTATTTAATGTATGCAACCGCATGAGTTAGAGATACGTACACACCATGACCCATCACCACAGTCTTGCCATAAACACATCTACCACCCCCAGACGTTTCCTCCTGCCCTCTTTATTATTACAGTTGTTGTTACTGTGCTAAGAACACAATATAACATCTGCCTTAGCGTGTTTTCCAGTATACAACACAGTATAGTTAACTACAGGCTTTACGCTGCACACTACACTCCTAGGTCTCGACCATCTTATGCAACTGAGGCTTCCTACGCTTTGGCTAATCCTTCGCATGTCCCTCGCCCCCCCAGCCCCCGCCTCAGCCTCTGGCAACACCATTTCACTCTGCTTCTAGAAGTTCGACTGTTTTAAATTCCTCATCTAAGTGGAATCACGTAATGTTTGTTCTTCGTGAGAGGCTTATTTACTTAGCATACATCTGTGTTGTCCACCTACGGGCAAATGAATAAAGAAAACATGGGATATACATACAACAGAATATTATTCACCTGTGAAAAGGGAATCCTGCCATTTGAGACAACACACGTCATCTCCTCCACTCATGAAATCTCTCCCCCACCCCTCAGCTCCTACTCACCCTTCGACACCAGATTCCGAGATCTGCCCCCCGCAAGGAGCCCTCTCCACTCCCAGAGCCCCGCCCTCAAGCTCTGGCCTGTCCACAGAGGCTGTGCCTCTTCCACTTACTCCACCGGGGAATGTGACCAAATGTCTGACAAGCGCCAGGGGACACCACTGTGCCTGGTCCCCGGACCCCGCTCTGGGCAGTGAGGCCTTGGTGTCCTCAGCTGACTGCCCCGCCATTTCTTTCTTTCCAGAGCCCCGTCCTCTGATGGTGCTGCATATCCCTCCGCCTGACACCGGGGCTGGCCCGGAGCAGGCGCTCAGCACAAGTCATCTAAACTGAAGTGGGTACCAAGTCCAGCCCAGTGTCGTCATGCCAACCAGAGAGAAGGAACGTGTCTGCCCGTGGATTTCACGTGGCCAGCGCCATCATCCCCACCGCCATTCGGCTAGCCGAGGGCAGCATCGTGTCTCTGCAACAGCGCTTGCTCACCCCCGAGGTCCCGGGACCCACCTCGCGGCCAGGATGTGCACGGGCTGGGAGCGCTGCACCTTCTGCCGCCCGGACGCTTGTGGCTGGAGGGGCCTCGCCCCCGCGGGTGGCGGCTGGCCGTGGGTGTGCTGGCCATTCTGACGCAGGGGCACTGTGTCCGACTGCATGCTGCTGGCTGGGAATAAGCTCTCCATGGACGAGTTCATGTCATTCATCAGAGCTTCCAGGTCCACGTCATCCTCTGGGAAATAAACGGCCAAAGCCAAGAAGGAACGTTAGCGGCGGTGAGGGTCACAGCCAAACGCGCATCTCAGTGACTCTCGACATTTAAAATTATTCGTAGGTAGAGGAGAATCACTAAGGTAAGCATAAATTTTGGCAAGGAACAACATGTTTTGTATTTATCAATATTTACCGACATTCTAGAGGCGATTCAATAACTACGGTGCCACTGCATTGCCACCTGCCCGTATGGGAGATACCTTTCAGGGCACCTGCTCAGCTCACCTACCCATCAGGATGGGTGGGCCACACTCAGCCGTGATTGTATAGCATGACCCCTCTGCCCAGCCTCAGCTGGCCAGGTCACAGGTGGACATGGAGCCCTAATTAGGCCAGTCAGGAAGCCCCCTTCCCTGAAATTCTAGGAGAGACAGGATCAGAGCAGCACTCAACAATGACACTAGCCCTGGCCCACCAGAGCCACCAGGAGGGCTACGTGGTGGCCGAAGCTGCGGTAGACAGGATCACAATGTGGCTGCTGCTGACACATGAACCTGTAGACCTCCAGGTCCCCGCCCTGTGACCTCGACTGGCCCGAGAGCCAGAGGAAGCCTGTCTTCACAGAGGATGAAGCCTGTCTTCACAGAAGAAGGCCTGAAGCAAATGCAGAGAGACAAAGATGGCACAGAGAACACCAGAGAGAATGACAGAAAATGGCAGAAAATGGCAGAAAATGACAGAAAGAGATGCACATGGAGAGACTCTGATGTGTAACTCCGTGTCAGTCTAGCTAGAACAGGTTGTCCATTTGGCCAAACACAGCTCCAGCGGATGCTGAGATGGTGTGTTCAGATGAGTACCAGTTATATCGGTCGACCCTGAGTGAAGCAGACCACCCTCCCTAACGTGGGTGGGCCTCGTCCAATCAGTTGAACGGCTTAAGAGAAAAGACTGGGGTCCCCGAGGCAGAGGGAGTTTTGTCTGCGGACGCTAACCTGCGATTCCTTCTTGGGTCTCCGGGCTGCCTGCCCGCCCTGCAGATTTTGGACCTGCTCCCCCACAATCACGAGCGCCCATTCCTTACATAAACCCATGTGCGCCCTCTGTATATGTGCACGCACACGTGCACAAAACTGCACATCCTATTGGTTCTGTCTCTCAGAGAACCCGGTTGATACAAGGTGAGGGGTGTGACCCAGCATACTTGGAGGTGTGGGAAAGGGCCAGGGAAGGGACAGAGCTGGAACCTGGGCCGGGCTGGGCCGGGCCGTGGGCAGCCGCGCATGGCTCAGCTTCCGCCCTTCCCGCGGCCTCGCTGCCTTCCCGCTGGGAGCTCTGTTAAACACCCCTACGTCCTAGTCTAACTGTGCTTACGCTACCGTTAGTGTCTCTTATTTGTACCCCAATACATTCTAATAATACTGACTCCCTTTTTTTCTGCCATTTCGGGACCCGTCACTTTTTAACAACATGGCAAATAACAGCTGAGGCTGACTCCATGTTGCCGGTCACGTATTCACCATCTCATTTGTCCCCCTCACAGCCCCACGTGACACCCACTTAACGAGCAAGGGGCTTAGGGCCCACGACAACAAAACCTTCACCCTGCCAAAGGCGACAGCCCCTCGCTGGCAGGACGACAGGACACTTGCTGAGAACAGCTGGCCCCGGCCCCGGGCTTTGGTGTTCTGTTTCCTGCTCTCTGACTGGGGTTGACGGTGGTGCCGCCGTGGGGAGGGGGTGAGGGGCGAGGCGGGCGCCGCCTGCTCTGTGACAGAGCCTGGCACGCGGCAGGCACTCGGGGAACGCGCTTCTCAGCTCCGCTCTCCCATTGATGCCACACAAAGCAACGTGAAGTGGAGACCGTCGGCCTGGCTTATGCGGAGGAGCGGGCCTAGGGGAATTAAGCAACTTGCCCAGGATCACACGCGGGCTAAGTACCGTCCCTTGAATTTGAAAGCACGTTTTGCAGCTACCAATCTGACCTCACCAGGTGCGTGCTCGATGAATGAGCTCACAGATCTTTCCAGAACACGCGGCCCTCCCTGCCTCGCCTGCTCCCCACACAACAGCCTCAGCTCCCTCCTCTCATGAGGCGTAAGGGCACGAGAACAGGACGAAGCGAAAAGCGACACGTGCCCGAAGGAGGCCTGGGAGCCGAGACGCCACGGGGGAGGCCTGGACAGATCCCACAGGGCCCCGAAGGGTACGGACACGTGGAGAGACGGACGGGGTGGAGAGACGGAAGTCCCCCGAAAGAGCGGTGGCGAGACACGAAGGCCTGCCCGGCGCAGTCTCTGCTGGAACGGAGGACAGAGGCCACGGGCACGAGCTGGCTGAGGTAGAGTGGACAGGGTCGGGGGACCCGGGCTGGGAGGAGGGAGGGAGGCGTGGAGACAAACCCAGAGTCCCGACTTGGGGAACTCAGTGAGCAGGGCCCTGCCTTCCTCGGGCTGTGGGAAGAGGGTGCTGTGACAGGTCTGGGTCTGAGCGGTCAAACAGCAATCCCGTGGCCAGATATTAAGAGGGCGGAAGTGCCAAATTAATAATTAAAAATTACCATGTCATCAATAATTAACCTATCACGTGGGAGGCCACCAACATCAGCCAGCAGACTCCTGGGGACAGGGGCAGGGGTGGGTGGTGGTCAGTGGGGAAGAGGAGTGGACAGAAAATGAGGACCCTGCAGGGGCAGGCACACATGCCCACGGTCCCCTGTCCCTGCAGGCTGTGTGGCCTCAGACAAGTCCTCACTCTAAACCGGGAAAGCGGCACTCGGCAACAAGAAAAATCGTGGGACGACCGCCCACAGGGAGCCAGCGCCACGTACCGAGGCCTCGGGCACTCGTCTTCCGAGGAAAGGTGTACGTTTACTGGAGCTCACAGATCTGGGGCTCCAGGAAAGTTCTAGGGTGCATCCTGGACACCGCTCTCCCCCATACTCCGATTTAGCTCGTAGTGACATGCTGGTTGCTTAATTTCAGCTCTGTGAAACAATTACGTATATGTGCTACCCTGACTCACCCTATGAACAACTCAATGTTTCTGTCTTAATGGACCATTTAAGAATCAATACAGGGTGAAACACAAAGTTCACTGTCATTATGGAGTGGCCTTCTCGAGGCACCATGGTGGCCTGGGGGCCACGAACAGGCTGGCCGAGGCGGAACCCCACAGTGTTCATGCAGATGCATTTTGTACTTGCTTAAAAACAGGAGAAGACCTCGCAGAATACAAAGGCCCGTTTCCATCACTTTCAGCCTGCTTTAGAAATCAAACGGGAGACAGTTCTTGCTGACGGATTTCTTCCGAGGAAAAAAAAAGAAAAAAAAAAGTCTCGACTCCATCAGGTGGAGTTCCGTTTGAGTTATTTTCTTCCCTGGCATTTCTGGTTGACCTCGGCCGTGCCCACCCACGAGGGCAGCCACCCTGTGCCTCCTGTCCTTCCCTTCTGCTGCTCCTCCCGGCCACCCAGGCCAGGCCTGGGTCACCCCTCTCTGCCGTGGAGCCACTATGCTTTCCAGAACACAAAATAATTTTGACATTATTCAAAGTAAATATTAAAGGTGAATCGGAAGCCGGAGCATAAACGCAATGCACGTCCTCACCAAATGCCTCTGAGGTGAATTCTTTATAAAACGACTTTCTACTTTAATGTATTTATGACTCTGTTACACGTGGCCGGGTTAATCTGATACCAAGCACTTAGTAGGTTACGATTTTCAAAAATCAAGTCCAACCACTGTAGTAGCATGTTTCAGACTTGTCTATTTTCCGTAGCCCTTAGAGCAGAAGTAAAAACTTTTTAAAGAACCTAAAATCTCCTGCTGTAGAACACACTTTAAAATTCCTGCACGAGCAAGCAGCGTTTGTTAAGACAATGCAGTCATTCGTGGGCATCTGATTTCAGGCAAACTTCGTTAAACTCCAGTGAGGACTCAGGATGGAATCTTCCGAACAGGGCGTGTGAAGGGCCGATCCCAGAGAAGCCACCTCTCCGTATCGAAACTGGCCCGCATGACGGTGTCGTTACTGAGACTCGCCGAGCTCCGGCAAACGCTCCACGTGGCTCTCGGGCCTTGTGCCAGGCCATTGGGGACAGCCGTGTGCCTCTCCCTGCGTGCGGCCTCCGCGTGAATCCGTGCGGATCAATAATCAGCCACTCGTCAGGCGTCTCTGCAGGGTCCCGAGCGGGAGAATCAAATACCCGGGGCGTTAACACACCGAATGCTTTTCTGGGCGTGAACAGAAGATTAAGCGACCGTTCACTGTGAACTTGGCGCCACACTTCCTGTGGGAAGGCACCTGGGCGGGGGTGCTGTGCGGCAGAGAGAGCGGGTTTTTCACTGAAACTTCACTCCACACGGATTCCTAAGGACGTATTTACTGCACAAATGTAGGTCAAACAACACGGTGGTAAATCACGTTATTAATAGCTACTTTCCTTCCTAGAACAACCCAACCTAAAATGGGGCACTGACTTCTGTCCCAAATATCTGAGTGGCTCATCTGATCTCGGGGTCACATGTGCGTCTCCCTCACTGTCATGAGCAGACCGAGGCTCCGTGAGTTCTCGAATGGATGGAAACACAGTGAAACCAATTTACGTTTGGCTCATAAACTATTCTGGGGGAATCTCTTCCATAAGCCAAGCCAGGAAGGGGCTGGACAGTGCCCAGCGGGAGCGCAGGCACAGAGGACAGTCGACCGCAGAGAGCCCCGAGTGGCGGCTGCCCCCGGCCTCCCTCGCTGCGCCCGCGAGGTTCACAGCACCTAGTAGGTCCAGCGTCTTCTCTAAGACACTGAAGAGGACTGTGGGTCTGCTTTCCCGGACTGTTCTGGCACCTGAAAGAGATGCCGTTTGTGCCGTGTGTCCACGTTCCAGCCCGACCGTCCACGTCAGCATCTGCTGACGGCACAGCTCGGCTGCGAGGCAGGGCGGGGTCCGCTTCGTGCCTGAACCCAGTGAGAGCGGATTCAGTCCCTGCGAAGAATAAGACACGGGGCTTGGGAGGTTGA